AGCAAAATTCAGTTCAATCTATCCGCCAAGAGTAAAGAAGACACTTATCATTGTATTTGCTGGGCTAAAATCCTTCATAATTCAGCTGTTCAAGTCAGGTGTCATAATTGTTCTGATCATTGCATGTTCACTTGTTTGTTTGACTTCCCTATCACAATAGGCAGCTCTAAGTGCCAGCAGGGGGGGGAAGCAGTGGCCCGCGCCCATCTCTGTCCGGGCCTACGTGCCATGAGCATGCTGTGAAGTCACCTGCCTGTCTCTGCGCCCCTCCGTCCAGGTAAGGAATGGACACCATGTTTGTTCAACTGTCCACTGAGTTTAAGGGCTGTAATTAATGTGGATGATGCGGTGCATGATAACATTATTGGTGCACACACAATTTGGCTGGACTTTAATGATTATATATAGCTAGACTGTCTCCCGTGACACTGGTTCATTGATTCGTACATGCATGAGTCAGTAGAATGTTGTGTCGCAGTTTCTTTCGTTGAGCTGGCTTAGGGTTAGTCTTTGTTTTGCCTTGGTATCAAAAAATTCATTTAGCAGGCAAATTTTACCCCAGCTTATAGCCAGAGACAGTGGAAAAACACAGATGAACAGCCTGAAATAAGCCAATTAATTATTATGTCCACTCACTCAGCGAAAAGAGACTCGATCTGAGCGTGGAGAAAGGATTAGGGTTCTTATTCTAATACTAATACTGTAGTTGAACACTGTTATTTACAAATTATTTCCAGCCTGACAATTCGATCGCTTCTTTGTTTTGATGTGTCATCCAGTTGTTAAAGGTTGGAAAAAGAGTTGTAAAGTGTGGTTTGATTGTGAATTCTGTGAACTATTCTCTGTGAAAGCTGGATTTGAAATTGCTGGAGAATTTTAAAAAACCAAGCACAGTCACACATTAGTAGTCCAGGTAGCATGGAGCGCCAGGAGGCATCTAAAGAACAATTTGTCACGTTTGAGCCCCTTTTTCTGACCAAGGATTCTGTAACACGTGGTTAGTAAGCAAAATTCAGTTCAATCTATCCGCCAAGAGTAAAGAAGACACTTATCATTGTATTTGCTGGGCTAAAATCCTTCATAATTCAGCTGTTCAAGTCAGGTGTCATAATTGTTCTGATCATTGCATGTTCACTTGTTTGTTTGACTTCCCTATCACAATAGGCAGCTCTAAGTGCCAGCAGGGGGGGGAAGCAGTGGCCCGCGCCCATCTCTGTCCGGGCCTACGTGCCATGAGCATGCTGTGAAGTCACCTGCCTGTCTCTGCGCCCCTCCGTCCAGGTAAGGAATGGACACCATGTTTGTTCAAGGGACTCAGTCCACGGAGTTTAAGGGCTGCTGTTGTGGATGATGCGGTGCATTCTAACATTGGTGACACAATTTGGCTGGACTTTAATAATTATATAGCTAGACTGTCTTCCGTGACACTGGTTCATTGATTCGTACATGCATGAGTCTGTATAATGTTATGTCGCAGTTTCTTTTTTTGAGCTGAGTTAGTTTTTGTGTTCCTTTGGTATCAAAAAATTCATTTAGCAGGCAGATTTGACCCTTATAGCCAGAAACAGTGGAAAAACACAGATTAAGAGCCTGAAATTTGCCAATTAGTTTTCTTACCTTTACTTGTTAAGCCGTTATGATTCATATTAGGTTTACAAACCTTAAATGAAGTGGGATTTTTATAGGCAGTCACTTGAGGAATCGGCTGTGATTATTTGTATGCTTGTGATTTCGAGGTCTTTCTTTCTGTTGCGTCCTAATGTCGCGCGGTAAAACATTTGCTAATTACTAACAGGGTTATGGCAAATGTACATAAGCGATTATGGGAATATTCATTTAAAGACCTTTTATTCTGAGCTATCTTAATCAAGTCGGTCTCAGTTCAGAGTAATCAAAATAATGATCGAAAGACGTTCAACAAACGGTTGTCTTCAGTATAGGACAAACAGAAATTCCCCTTTAGCCTTCAAATATTTGCTGGCGGGTAGAAAGAAATCCTCTGTATCCTTTCCCATTCAAGCAGCAGATAATGTACGGTTGTAAATTAGTTGGTCGTTTCCCCATGCGTCCTGTTTAATATTCAGTTGATGTTGATAGTGTTTCGACGGTATAATTTTCCCTAATCAGCCTAATTTAAAGTAGACGTATGAGGTAAACTTTCAGTTAAAATATTTGTATTTAATCCCTCTAAAATTAAACCAATAAACGACTCAACATTTTAATATAACCGAGACTAACATTTCGCAGCAGTTTCGTTTGATAAAACTTGTTAAGAATGAATTTACTATAATCATTTGCCTATATTGGGTCTCTTCTTTTGAGTAATCCACAAGATCGCTAAGGTTGATTTCCATGACGCGTTTCTGGCTACGCACGTTGACGCACGTAAATAAAACAGAGGCAAAGGTGCCGAGCGTAAAGGAGAAGTTTAGCGTGGTTCAACTTTTACGCCTACGAGCGACCTTTCACACATTGCCTCTGTGTTGTTTGCGAACGTAAATTTTACGCACGTGCACACGCCAAAATTAGGCGACACTAGAAATCAACCCTTACGGGTCCCTGATTACCATTCACATAAATACAGTAATAGACTATTATTAAGACATATTACCCAGCTTTTATTGAAGAAAATATCACGTTTTTCTTGTCTCGGCGACGTTATTGTTGTCAATACTACAGAAAGGAAGCCTTGAGAACTTAATGGTAAGTGTAAAATCTCATTTCTGTTAATTACGAAAACGTTACACTTAATTTCTGCTACGCTCGAGACACATACTTATGCATTGTTTTTTCTATTTTTTTCCAATAGTTCCTGAAGCATTTTTTATCTGTGTAATGTAAAGGAAAGCATTCACCAAACGAGTCATCACGAACCTGTCAAAACAAAGGGTTTACCTCGGTGTAAGAACAGATTAAGTGGCATAGACCCAGTTCACTCAGTCTAGTCCTTGTTTAAAGTGTAGACTGTATAATAAAAAGGGAAGTTGTATTACTTGTAAGTTTACACACAAAAAACAAAGCAACAGCTAAAGCGAGACTTGACTTTACTATGGTGAAATAACTATAACTTTTTTTACTTTGTTTTTCACGTTTTCTTGTTTAATGCTTTTAAAATTACATGATTCACATGCAACAAAGAATTGAAATGCGTCACAGACTGAAGCATTTTCCAAAGCAACAGCTAAAGCGAGAGTTTTTCAATTAGATACTGGCAATGACTTATGGAGATATAACGATGACGTTTTTTGAACTAGAGTGGAGCATTTTCCTATTTAATGACTTTACTATTTAATTAATAGTTATACCATTTCAGGAACATGTCCTTTCGGTATTTCGCCATGACAAGCTCCTCAATCTCCTGAGGTATCAACGGCCCGAAAGTCCCTCTGTCTGACAACATATATCTGTTCGGTACTGTTCATATAGATTTCACCAATCGGTGCTGCACCCATTTTTTTTTTTGAAAAATATAGCCTTAGAGTCCTGCAATCGAGTCATCTCGATATTTTCTTCATCTCAGTGTAAGAACATATGTAATTTGGGAAAAATATAAAAGGATTGTTGCACTAAACTATTCACTTGAATGTTAGCTTTAAATTCAATATGTCATAGTAGAAAAATGATTGTACATAAATAGAAGTTATTCTTTCGAAAAAATGAGGTTATGTTGTTTACAAATACGGAATAATTGTCATGAAAATTAGACATGTATATTAGAAAAAGAAAAAGAAATTGTAGGAATAAAAAACGCTAAAAAATCTGCATATTTTTCTTTACCATTTCCTTTAATAGTTATATCATTTCAGGACAGTGTCTTTTGGTATTTAGCAATGACGAGCTCCTTTATTTCCTGTAGTACCAGAGGCCCAAAAAAGGTCCTTTTTATCATGACGGTCGTCAACATTTCTTTAGTACCGTCTATATAAATTTCCCCAATAGGTGCAGCTCCAATCTTTATTTCTATGATTGATGCACTTGATTCTTTTAAGGGAGTCATCTTGAACCTGTCAGAAACAAAAATAATTGTACATAAATAGAAGTTATACTTAACAAAAATGAGGTTGTGTTGTTTACAAATACGGAATAATTGTTATAAAAATTAGACATGTATATTACAAAAAGAAAAAGAAATTGTAGGAATAAAAAACGCTCAAAAATCTGTATATTTTTCATGTGAACGTAACTGTCTCGTTAATCTAGTATCATTTCCTAGGGAATTAATTTCTCAACAACTGGTTTCTAGCTGCTGTTTAAACCATTAAATGTCACTTACAATTACTTTGCCTCGGACTGTTGAGCGCATTGGCCTTATCTCTCTATAAACCGCCCGCTTGAATAGGTCTTCTTGTCCATGGCATCACACATCACAAAACTCTGTGCTCGGCCTGAACAGTTATTTTCACGTCCCTGTGTCTTCTCCATAGTTCTTCGTTTCCGCATTTGAAAACAGCTCTGAGTCCTTTCTTCATCACAATGGTGGCCTTTGGTCGTCCCGGCGATCGTTGGACCTCAATTATTTCTACGAAAAATAGTCATTGTTGTCAATACAACAGAAGGGAAGCCTTGAGAGCTTATTGGTAAGTGTAAAATCTCATTTCTGTTAATTACGAAAACGTTTCACGTAATTTCTGTTACGCACGAGACACATACTTATGCATTGTTTTTTGTCTTTTTTCCAATAGTTCCTGAAGCATTTTTTGGCTGTGTAATATAAAGGGAAGCATTCACCAAGAACCTGTCAAAACAAAGGGTTTACCTCGGTGTAAGAACAGATTAAGTGGCATAGACCCAGTTCACTCAGTCTAGTCCTTGTTTAAACTGTAAACTGTATAATAGAAAGGGAAGCTGTATTACTTGTAAATTTACACACAAAAAACAAAGCAACAGCTAAAGCGAGAGTTTTTCAATTAGATACTGGCAAAGACTTACGGAGATATAACTATAACGTTTTTTTGAACTAGAGTGAAGCATTTTCCTATTTAATGACTTTACCATTTAATTTAATAGTTATACCATTTCAGGAACAAGTCCTCTCGGTATTTCGCTAGGACAAGTTCTTTGATCTCTTGGGGGATTAAGGGCCCGAAAAAGTCCCTCTGTCTCACAACGTACACCTTTTCACTACCGTTCATATACATTTCACCGATAGGTGCTGCACCCATTTTGAAAAATATAGCCTTAGAGTCCTGCAATCGAGTCATCTCGATATTTTCTTCATCTCAGTGTAAGAACATACGTAATTTGCGAAACATATAAAAGGATTGTTGCACTAAATTATTCACTTGAATGTTAGCTTTAAATTCAATATGTCATAGTAGAAAAATGATTGTACATAAATAGAAGTTATACTTTCGAGAAAATGCGGCTATGTTGTTTACAAATACGGAATAATTGTTATGAAAGTTAGACATGTATAATATTAGAAAAAGAAAAAGAAATCGTATGATCAAAAAACGCTCAAAAATCTGTATATTTTTCAAGTGAACGTAATTGTCTCGTTGATCTAGTATCATTTCCTAGGGAATTAATTTCTCAACAACTGGTTTCTAGCTGCTGTTTAAACCATTAAATGTCACTTACAATTACTTTGCCTCGGACTGTTGAGCGCATTGGCCTTATCTCTCTATAAACCGCCTGCTTGAATAGGTCTTCTTGCTCGGCCTGAACAGTTATTTCCACGTCCCTGTGTCTTCTCCATAGTTCTCCTTTTTCGCATTTGAAAACAGCTCTGTGATTTGTTACACTCAGAGTCCTTTCTTCATCACAATGGTGGCCTTTGGTCGTCCCGGCGATCGTTGGACCTCAATTATTTCTACGAAAAATAGTCATTGTTGTCAATACCACAGAAGGGAAGCCTTGAGAGCTTATTGGTAAGTGTAAAATCTCATTTCTGTTAATTACGAAAACGTTTCACGTAATTTCTGTTACGCACGAGACACATACTTATGCATTGTTTTTTCTCTTTTTTCCAATAGGTCCTGCACCCATTTTTTTCTGTATAATATAAAGATAAGCATTCACCAAACGAGACATCACGAACTTATCAAAACAAAGGGTTACCTCGGTGTAAGAACGAGTGGCAGAGACCCAGTTCAGTCAGCCTACGGTAGTCCTTGTTTAATTTTAGACAGAACATAGGATTTGTCAGTATTGCCATGAAGCTCAGCTAGGATGTTAGGATCAACTCTAGACCTCATTAATAAACAGTTCCTTAACATTTGCTTAAATCCACCTTCAGTCAAGTTGGTCCTTTTAATAATGACGGTCGTCAACATTTCTTTAGTACCGTCTATGTAAATTTCCCCAATAGGTGCCCCTCCAATTTTAATTTCTATTATAACAGCACTTGATTCCTTTAAGGGGGTCACCATGAACCTGTCAAAACAAAGGGTTTACCTCAGTGTAAGAACGTATGCAATTTGCAACGAGTATAAAAGGATTGTCGCACTATAATTAACCCCTTGAATGTTAGCTTTAAATTCAATATGTCATAGTAGAAAAAATAATTGTACATAAATAGAAGTTATACTTAACAAAAATGAGGTTGTGTTGTTTACAAATACGGAATAATTGTTATAAAAATTAGACATGTATATTACAAAAAGAAAAAGAAATTGTAGGAATAAAAAACGCTCAAAAATCTGTATATTTTTCAAGTGAACGTAACTGTCTCGTTAATCTAGTATCATTTCCTAGGGAATTAATTTCTCAATAACTGGTTTCTAGCTGCTGTTTAATCATTAAATGTCACTTACAATTACTTTGCTTCGGACTTTTGAGCGCATTGGCCTTATCTCTCTATAAACCGCTCTCTTGAATAGGTCTTCTTGTTCGGCCTGAACAGTTATTTTCACGTCCCTGTGTCTTTTCCATAGTTCTTCTTTTTCTCATTTGAAAACAGCTCTGTGATTTTTTACACTCAGAGTCCTTTCGTCATCACAATGGTGGCCTTTCATCGTCCCGGCGATCGTTGGACCATTATTATCTGTACGAAAAATAAGATTACAAATATATACTCTTACAAGGGGAAAAAAATCACTGAAAGAAATGCAAAAATGTATGTCGTCGCCAAGATGAGTCTTGTCACCTGTGGAATTTTAAGGACCCGTTTTATGCAACTTTAAAACATTTTGTACATAAAAAGTATGTAAAATTATCTGTTGTTTACAAACACAGAGTAATGTTTATGGGAATTAAAAGTGTATATTGCAAAACGAAGAATAAAAACTTGTTTAAGATAGGTTGCTGTATTTCATTTGTTTTACCAGCGATTACTGCCTCCTTAATCAATAATGGGATACATGAAACATGCGCAACAGGCCATTACCAGCTCTTTATGTGACTCACAGTCCTTTTGTTATCGTTATACTAGTCTTTGTTTTCCCGACCGGCTTCGCTTCATCATTTCCAAGTTTATGTCCCTTGTTCAGCCTTTTAGAAATTGTACTGGAGACCTCTGAAGATAGCTTTTATTACTCGCGTCGTGCTTATGTTTGACGATAATAATTATTTTCAATCTAACAGTCCGTCACTCGCAAAACTTCGCGAGGAGAATAAAGATAAAACTCTAAAGAAGTAGGGTAAGTAATTAAAGTAAGAAACGCAAGGTGTCCTAATACTAACGCGTTAATTTTCCATGCTTAAAACTATCTAATTTTTTATTCTTTTTAAGTATTTTCTGTTAAAATATGAACGTTAAAACTCAACCAAACGAGAATTAAACCGTGGTGTAAAATGACTCTCTTTTTGAAAGGTTTAGCGGGGAAAACGACCGAAAAATATACAACCATTTTTTGAATTGTTATGTGGTGCTTTTTCATCCTCGGTGACCCAGGGGCAGCTACTCAGAACGTGATAAACGCACTTGCGAAATATTTGCGAAGTTTACAAGTTGACCGCAAATTGAAAAAGATAACAAAGAAATTGAGATGCAGAATATTTTCCGAAACGATGCGTAAGTATAAATTATTCAAAGAGAGGTTCGTAAAGAGAAGTAAGAATTTTGAGGAAAAGCTTTCCGGAAAAAAATGATTCTTCCTGCGAAAAGAGATAACAAAAGAAAATAATTAATTGAAATCAAACGCTTATATCCTACTTGAAATAGATAGCATTTAAAATGACTCTATTTGCTGCATACCTGTCGAAATGCTGGGTTTTTCCTTCTAGCTCTTGCATTCTCCAACGCGATGAAGATTGTTTTTTACAATTTGAGCTACAGTCGACTATGTATGACGGACAAATCCAAACTTTAAAACTGGAAATCGAAGTGTCCTTTGACTGTCATATAAAAAGTTTGTTTTCTTTTAACTGACTGAAAATAAGCGGTAAAGACTAAGGTAATAGGGAGATTAGGAGTCACATTCACGGCGCACCGCAAGCGGTAGACTCAGGTTGAGGGGAATTCTCAAAATAGGAAAGAAGCAAATAAAAAAAGGATAAAGCAGTTCTGAATGAAAATAACCGCAAACTGCTTATTGTATAGGAAAAGAACAGTCAAAGTCAAGTAAGGGGAAAACTTGGTCATGTGGCGAAAATTCATGATTGCCGTCTACCCTAAACGTGACTCTTAATCTCTCTAATTTGTCCGTCTTAGAGAGGTGTCCGTTAAGAGAAAGTTAGCTGCATGTACTAAATGTGCCCGCTTACTCCGTGTAGGCATGCCTTCTTTGTCGCTGTTTTCTCTTCTCTAGATCGTATCGCGCTTTTCTGCATATAAGAGGATTTACAAACGGAGCCTCCTCGCCAAACGCCCCGCGTCTTTCTCTGATTGCTGTTTGAAAAGCTGCATTTAACTCCTCATTGTAAAAGTAGCGAGGAGTTGGAAAAGCGTAGCCTGTTGCGAGTGCACGAGATGCTATCTCGAACCTTCCCAGAGACGGCTGAATATTTGAAGGAGGGTTTTGACTGTCGAAAACCGATCGAATATCTATTAATAATCGGTCATACAAGTCGACTCCGTAGCAGTCAGCGAGAATATGTGCGTTATCGATGGGAATTGGACCTCTTATTTCACGGAGTTGCGTTTCTAAAAAATCACGCCCCTCTCGCCAATACCTCTGGTCTACATCGCAGTCACTTCGTCGCGGCTCGCGCGGTGCTTCTTGCGTGTCGTATCCTAAAAGCCGACTTCTTTTCTCCACTAAGGTTGTCGGAGCACCATGAAAAATACGAAGTTCCTCGGGATATTGATTGCCCACGACCTTCTTCATAGATTCGTCTCGGCATGGTTCATCTTGAACAAAAAAACCGTGAAGTTGAGTTATTTTTAAACTCGGTAGCCCGTCCCCGTCCCCTAAACTTTCATCAGGAGGATATTGCAGACATAATCGCAGATAAGCAGATTCGTAACGGCTATCTTGCGCTGTGCGGACATTCGAAGGGAGAAGGTAATCGTCGTTGATGATTTTGTTGTCCAAAAACGAGGCGACTTCGGGAATTACGCGCAAGGCATGCCTCCAGGTTAGATCGACTTGTTTTAAAACTGGAAAGCGGTAAACAGCCCATGAGAGTGTCAGTAGTTCTCTGAGGTAGTTGTAGCTTAGGTGGATTCCGCGATTGTTAGCAAGATCAAAAGCCACACTCAGACAATGCATGTTTCGTGAGCGTCCTAAAACATCGATTTGCTTCGCAATTTGTAGATTTTGTAAGAAGACATGATAGGTCTCCAGATCGCTTAGATGCATTATCATCGAAGAAATATTTTCAATCATAGCGGCTTCCGTGGAATCTGAAATTGAAGGCCTAACTGATAATGAATTCTCGCATCGAGCGGACTCTATGAAAGTACGAAATTTTAGATTAGAAACATATAATGCGAAATCTGCGCTTGTCCGACATCCTGTAGCGAACCGAATGGATTTTGGTAGAGTTTCTTCGTCTGCGGCGTGGATACCTGCCCCTTCACTCCCACGGTCCTGTGTAGGTGTAGCTTCCTCATCGCTGTCGTCATCGTCTTCCGCTGGAGATTCCATTTCCTGGAAAGGTGGCAGAGAGAAACAACTTTAAGACATATGACGATGATAAGGACTTTCCTATATTAAACAATTATTCGATTATTTAATTAGGATATCAGAAAAACCGAATGAAATGATTGTTTTATTATACATTGTTTTGAAGAGAATAATGACAAACACACCATCGCAAGGAACCTGAATTGAATATTATTTTTATTGGAAATCGTGTATTGCGGGCTCCGCAACCTACAGATTAGTTAGTTGTCTGCGCTGATTTCCAAAATTAGCTGTAGAGGAAAGATAGTGAGTACAATGTAAGATAAAATGGGTGTTTTATCTGTGTGTTGTGAAACAATACGTTTTGTGATGAAAGTTGAGGCTGGCGCCGCTGAAAAAGGTTCTACAGTTATCATGAATATGACAGAAAAGAAATTTTAAAGGGCCTAATCCTGGCACCTAACTGTAAACGGGAACCTTTAGGCTGTTTCCACGGGAAAGTTGTAACGAATTTATGATGCGTCTTTTTACCTGAGACATTTCCCCACCAGCATCTGTTGAACCACTGGCCTGTGTAATGGTACTGCTTTGCGAGGCTGCGACGTCAGATTCTTCCGCGGGGACAGTTGGAGTTTGGTGGGCAGGTGAACTTACGCGCAAATCGGCTCTTTCTTTTAACACTGGTAGTAAATAGGTGGCTTCGGTTTTCTGTGTTAC